CACAGCTCCTGACCAGTGGGACATCGCTAATGTGAGTTAAACTTTTGCTCAGGCTTCAGGAGCCCAGTGGTTCAGTCTATAGCACTCAGGCAGGACTAAGACTTTGGAAAAACTGACCGCCCCACCCCCAGCTCTCTGGAGACAGAGTAGCCTAGAGACAGAGTACAACAGGAACGTAGAGAACGGGGTAAAAAAGAAAAATCACTGAACTGTCTAGTCCCCTGGCTAATGCCACAGCCCGAGGAAGCTGGACTTTCCCTGCGTATATCTCTGTGTTGGGCTCTGACCTTGTTACTCTGGCCACCCTCAAGTTGGAGTCCTGCATCCAACCGATTGGTTCAATAGCTATTCTTCATGCTTTACTGTTAAAGCCAAATTCCCTGAGAGATAGGTTTCAGGGCTTATAGCCCGGACCATGACAACAAGTTGTCTAAATGAGACACAAGTGTTGCCTAGTAGATGTAGGATGAAGTGACCTGTGACGGTGCATTTTGGGCCTAACCATGTTGACTGGACAATTTGGGATGGCCTCAGTAAAGCTTAAAGGAAGTCTTGCTTATTACCTGCTCAGCTAAGATGGAAAAGTCTGGCTTTGTGAAACCAAGAGCAAGATAGAACCGGTAGCCTCGTTTTCAGGCTGTGAAGCAACTCAATTTATCAGAATGACATCAAGCAGAGTCCATGACTTGATTCATTAAAAACAGTTATTCTTGGGCTCCTTTATGACTTTCAGGGATTGGAAGCCTTTAAAAAGAAGCACAGACTTAGTTCCAGGTCCTGATATAAAGCATATAAAGTTCAAATTCTTTGTGAAGAGGCTGTTATCCAAGCCAGGGGTCTCAGGATGCACAGAGACTTCCAAATAACTACTGTGGGACCTTGATTTGAAGGGCCTAAGGAAATGCACAATGCTTGGTTTTTGCAGGCTATAGATAACACTGTCCCTCTAGTGGCAGGAACCTGAATTGCAGGCCCAGTGCCCTGGTTATTGTTCAGTCGCTCAGTCCTGTCCAACTCTTTGGGACTCCATGAACTGCAGCATTCACCATCTCCTGGAGTTTGCTCAAACTCATGTCCATTGACTCAGTGATGCCATCCAACCATCTCATCCTCTGTTATCCCCTTCTCCTCCTGCCTTCTATCTTTCCTAGCATCAGGGTCTTTTCCAATGAGTCAGCTCTTTGCAGCAGGTGGCCAAAGTACTGGAGCTTCGGCATCAGTCCTTCCAATGAATATTCAGGATTGATTTCTTTTAGGATTGACTGGTTTGCAGTCCAAGGGACTCCCTGCAGTACAAAGGACTCTCCAGAGTCTTCTCCAACACCACAGTTCAAAAGCATCAATTCTTCAGCGCTCAGCCTTCTTTATGGTCCAAGTCTCACATCCATACATGGCTACTGGAAAAACCATAGCTTTGACTACATGGACCTTTGTTGGCAAAAAAGTGTCTCTGCTTTTTAATATGCTGTCTGGGTTGATCATAGTTTTTCTTCCAAGGAGCAAGCGTCTTTTAATTTCATGACTGCAGTCACCACCTGCAGTGATTTTGGAGCCCCAGAAAATAAAGCCTGGAAGGGATGAAACCAGATACCATAATCTTAGTTTTTTGAATGTTGAGCTTTAAGCCAGCTTTTTCACTCTTCTCTTTCACTTTCATCAGGAGGCTCTTCAGTTCCTCTTCACTTTCTGTCATAAATGTTGTGTCATCTGCGTATATGAAGTTATTGATATTTCTCCCAGCAATCTTGATTCTAGCTTGTGTTTCATCCAGCCCAGCATTTCACATGATGTACTCTGCATATAAGTTAAATACACAGGGTGACAATATACAGCCTTTCCCAATTTGGAACCATGTTTCCATTTTTCCATGTCCAATTCTAACTGTTGCTTCTTGACCTGCATACAGGTTTCTCAGGGGGCAGGTAAGGTGGTCTAGTATTCCCATCTCTTTAAGGATTTTCCACAGTTTGTTGTCATCCACACAGTCAAAAGCTTTGGTGTAATCAGTGAAGCAGAAGTAGATGTTTTCCTGGAATTCTCTTGCTTTTTCTATGATCCAATGGATGTTAGCAATTTGATCTCTGGTTCCTCTGCCTTTTCTAAAACCAGCTTGAACATTTGGAAGTTCACAGTTCATGTACTGTTGAAGCTTGGCTTGGAGAATTTTGCACATTACTGTACTGGTATGTGAAATGAGTGCAATTGTGTGGTAGTTTGAACATTCTTTGGCATTGCCCTTCTTTGGGATTGGAGTGAAAACTGACCTTTTCCAGTCCTGTGGCCACTGCTGAGTTTTCCAAATTTGCTGGCATATTGAGTGTAGCACTTTAACAGCATCATCTTTTAGGATTTGATATAGCTCAGCTGGAATTCCATCACCTCCATTAGCTTTTTGCGTAGTGATGCTTCCTAAGGCCCACTTGACTTTGCTTTCCAGGATGTCTGGCTCTAGGTGAGTGATTACACAGTCATGGTTATCCAGGTCATTTAGATCTTTTTTGTACAGTTCTTCTGTATATTCTGTCTTCTCTTCTTAATATCTTCTACTTCTATTAGGTCAATACCATTTCTGTCCTTTATAGTGCCCATCTTTGCCTGAAATATTCCCTTGGTATCTCTAATTTTCTTGAAGAGATCTCTAGTCTTTCCCATTCTATTGTTTTCCTCTATTTCTTTGCATTTATCACTGAGGAAGGCTTTCTTATCTCTCCATGCTATTCTTTGGAACTCTGCATTCAGATGGATATAGCTCTCCTTTTCTCCTTTGCTTTTAGCTTCTCTTCTCAGCTATTTGTAAGGCCTCCTCAGACAACCATTTTGCTTTTTTGCATTTCTTCTTCTTGGGGATGGTCTTTATCACCACCTCTTGTACGATGTTAGGAACCTCTGTTTGGCTAAGAGAACACCCTGGCCATAGCAAACACTCTCCTCCAACATCACAAGAGACAATTCTACACATGGACATCACCAGTGCCTTGGAGGGACCCATTAGCAAAAGGAAGGAGTTATGTCTCACAAATTCAAATATTACAAAAACTTACATTTTTATAGGACTTACAACTTTAAAAGTTCTTTCACATGAACTCTGTTTTGACTCTCACAAGCATCACATGAAAAACAGCTTGCATTTCATTTTTCAGTTGAGGACATAAGACTACATAACTGTTGCAGGAAAGGGAACTCCTTCCAGGGCCTGAAAGGGGGCTCTTGTCTAACACTTGGAAATGAATTGTCAGAGGAGACACACATGCTGACAAAGCAAGAGATTTTACTGGGAAGGGGCGCCCTTGGGAATGAGAGCAGGAGGATAAGGAAACCCAGAAGATCTGCTTGGACATGTGGCTTACAGTCTTGAGTTTTATGGTGATGGGGTTAGTTTCTAGATTGTCTCTGGCCAATCACTTTGACTCAGGGTCTTTCCTGGTGGCTCATGTATTGCTCAGCCAAGATGGATTCCAGTGAGGAGGATTCTGGGAGGTAATCTCCTTTTGACATTTCCCAACTTCTGGCTGGTGGTGGCTTGTTAGTTCTGTGTTCCTTACCAGGGCCTCCTGCCATAAAATAATTCATGCAGATAGTTACTATGGTGCCTGACCAGGGTGGGCAGTTTTAATGTGTTTCCCCTAACATAGCTATCAATGGACTCAGGTCTCCTGACTTTTCTTTTTCTTTTTTAAAATTTATTTATTTATTTTAATTTCTCCTGACTTTAAATTTAGACTTCTTTTTATTAATACCACATAGTGCTTCTCTTCTCTTTTGGACATCAGAATGAACTGTTCTGTGTCCTGTCTGTGTCCGAGATGTCACTACGATCTGGAAATGGACATGATTGTCCCTTATCCGGTCACTGTAGTGCCCCTGTCCTAGGCAACAGTTGAGGAAACATGGCTTTGCAGGCAACTGCTTTAACGCTAAGAGACAAATAGTGAAAATTTCAGGTACTCTTGAAGGCAAGTGGAGGAGAGGGTTCCAGCTTGATATATCAAACCTTGGCAGCAGCCTCCTATTCTTCTCCAGAGCAGGACTGGCGTTGGAAGGAACTGAAGTTCCAAAGTCCAGAAGTTGTTTCCTGTCCCTAAAATTTCTCTCCTGTCAGTGGGTTGATGGATGTCAGTCCTATATAAGGTGAAATGACTTTTACTTTCCAACCAGGGCCAAGGCTTACAATGCAATGACCCTGGAGAGAGAAGACATTGGCTTAAGTTTGCAGGAAGTTGGAAATGATTGATTTCCGGGCAGCCATGTTGTTGCAGAGAGGGTGGAGAGATTCGGAACGCGGAGTGGAGGGGGAGATTTGATGATGGCGATGCAGACAACCGTTTATGCCCCCCGCCGGCAGGACTTTCTCCAGAGAAGTAAACCGGCCACAGCTGTCCCTCTCCCGGCCACCTTCTCACCTTGACCCCCAGCTCTGGACTCGGCCTCTCCTCCCGGGCAGAGTTTCAGCTGCTCAGCTGGCTGGCCCTGACCCCGGGATGAACTCTGCATTCCACTCCCAGCTCCCCAGGCTGCGGCATGCTCTTCTCTTTCATGGCTCCTTGGAGGCCTTTGAGGGAGCAGACACAGAGGGGAGGAAGCTGCTCTGCATCCTCTCACACTCCCCAGGGTACATCTGAGCCTTTTCCTGGATCTTAAGAAAAAAAATGAAGATACTGAATTAGCACACTGGAAGACCCCATTGGATGGACACACAGCAGGAATAACAGGGTTTTTTTGCAGGGAATGTATGTAGAGTGAGCATTCATGGGTGTGTCCGTGTATGAGCAACAAGAGAGTAAAAAGAATGTTTTTGCTGCATTCCATTGCCCTGAAATAAAAGCCATCAATGTTACAAATATCCCCCAACAGGCACACATACACACATATGACATACACACGCATGCACACATACACACACCCATGGGCTCCTTCCTGAATGGATTTCCATCTCCTGAACCTTTTGCCATAGGCTTTGTCTTTCCCATGACATGGAATAGACTAGGGAAGAAAGTGATCAAATGGCAACTTTGGGCCCCTCCTCCAGTGATTCATCTGGGTCCCAGGGCTGGACCACCAAGCGCCTAGCACTCTCAGCAAGGCCCAGGTCCCAGGTGCTGCCCAGCACAGAGCAGGTCCTGGGAGTAGGCCGGGGCCTCACCAGCCCCTGGAAGGGAAGTCCTTCCTTGCTGTGGAAACACTCTTCTCCTTTTTATGTACATGGCAAACCACGGCCCCCAACTTTGGATTCAATTCCTTTTTTCCATGTCATTAGATCCTTTCCAGCAGCAGCCACCAACAGGTTTCCAGAAAAGACCTAGGCCAAATTGTGTAGCCTATCCTCAGCCTGGCTTCCTACCTCTGTGGGACATTCTCTCAGAGGGGAGAGCAAACAACTTGGATAGCCTTTCATCCAAAAGCTCAGTCACTGGCCTGGGGCACACCCTGCCAAGGCCGTTGTTGGGGCTAATCCAGGAGGGGAGCACTGTGTGTGTGAGGGAAACAAGGGACTCATAACATTTGGGTCTGATCTGAACTCCTCAAATCTTGATCACTCATCTCATACATCCCAGGTCCAGCCCACAGATGTGTGATTTGGGCAGAAAGGCTTCGGTGGGGAGGTTGCTGAATTCACTCCAAGGAGGGGAAGGTATAAAAACACTTCGGAGGAAAGGAAAGTTGTCGGTGGTAGGTTGAATGGAAAGAGACCCAGGGAAATAAGTTACTGCAATTACAAGGGGCACTAAATAGAGGGGTTTGTCCTTTCAGCAAGGCAGCTGGCAGCTTGTCCGAGTACAGACATCCAGGCATGCCTGCGGTCCAGAACGGAGGGCTGGTGGGTGGTGTTTTGCTAGATAAGCAGAAGGAAAACCTTGAAAATGTACTTGCTTGATTCTATCCAATGCTTTCGCTGATGAAAGGCTTAGGAGCTGCCAGCGGGCTTTAGCTCCTGCTGCTACCAAACAGGCGTGGTAGGTGAGACTCTCAAGCACTTAGCTGAATTTAAAGGGAGTAGAGAGGTAAGGTTCTGAAGTCCCAACCCAGCAGGCTTCCCTGACCAGGGGCTGGAGTGTAAGCTCGAGTCCCAGATTGAGAGACCCGGGAACTGCCAGCTGATGTTAGAAGTAACATTCTGCTTTGGGTACTGCATCCACTGGGAGCTGCAAAAGAAAGATAAACACACCTCTGAAGCTCCTGCTGGCCCAGGGATGGCATCCTGGGTAGGTCTCTGAGAAGGGAAGGGAGGAGGAAGAACCAAACAGACCCAGGAGAAATGACCTGGCCTGAATGTCAACACCGCACACTGCTGCCAGGATCCTGCTCTCAGGCTCACGGCTGAAGATCACCATCCTCCTGGTGAGAGACCAGCTTGCTGTGTGAGCAGAGAAGAGATTCTGTGCCCCCACGAGCAGCCCCAGCACAGACTCTGAGCAGGACCCAGAGCACAGAGGCCTCCTCGGATGAGGACAAGACCTAGCTGGATCATGGCAGTACTTCTGGAGGCGGTCAGCCAAACCAGATGGAGCCCTGCGGGTCTCAGTTGAGAAAAGAGGAACCTTTTTTCCTTTCTGTTTTTTATTCCAAGGCACAATTCTTTCAAGAAGACAGAATCTGAAAGAAGTATCTTTAATGAAGACTGTGAAATCAGAATGCAGCTGTGAACCCCCAAGCCTGTCCTCCTCATTTTATAATCATGGAAATGGAGGTCAAGACCACCCAGTGGGAGGCAGAGATGGTAGATCCTGGGTTCCCACCTGAGCCTCGTTCACTCCACCTGCCGCCTCTGCTTTGTACGCCCTGCAGGAGTTCGCAGCCAACCCACCAGGACTGTAGCCCGCCAGGGTCCTCTGTCCATGAAATTATCCAGGCAAGACACTGGAGTGGGTTGCCATTTTCTTCTCCAGGGGATCTTCCCGGCCCAGGTATTGAACCTGGGTCTCCTGCACTGCAGGTGGATTCTTTGCCATCTGATCCAGGGAAACCCCTCTTTTTTTTTTTTTTAATAGACTCTTTTTTAGAGCAGTTTTAGGTTTATAGCAAAACTGAGTGGAAGGTACAGAGATTTCCCCATACATACAGCTTTCTCAATTATCATACAGCTTTCTCCATTATCAACATCCTGCACCAGAGCAGTCCATGTGTGATGAACCTGCACTGACCCATCATAGTCACTGAAGTTCGTGGTATATGGCTCACAGTTGGTGGTGCACAATTGTGGGTTTGGATGAATGTATAATGACATATACTCATCACTGCAACATCATACAGAGTTCTGACATGAATTCTGTCATACTGAAAGTCCTTGCACAGAATATTTTCATGACAATTCCTATATCAAGGAACACATCACAAGGCTTAATTGCCACTAGTCTAGGGATTTGTCTCTAGAGCACAGCTGGCTAGGTGCTCACTGGCTTGAAGATATTCTGCTCCCCCAATTCCATGTTGCTGGCTCCTGGGATGGACGTACTGGACATGAAGGCCGAGGATGAGGATGCAGGTGCCTCAGATAGACAGGTAGGGTCAAGGCAGGACCAAGCTGTGATGCAGAGTTATCATTTTAGACAAAGCTCGTCTTTGAAACCTGGTTCCACCCTTATCACACATGCGTGTGCATGTACACACACACAAACACCTTTTCCTTTCTTCTAGAACTTCTTTCCATCCTTTTTAAGGATGCTAGTGTCCTTTTGCACTGTCTTCCATCCTGACTATTAAAAAAGTGCTTTTGGAAGGGGTCCAATGTCAGCTATTTGCTATTCAGTGTCAGTTGAAGTCATCGCATTTTCCTTCCTGGTTTATTTGCAATGTGGGCCTTAGCTCTCCTTGTATACTGAAAAGTTTTGCCTTTTAGAAATTATAATAAATACCTAAAGCAAGTGAGAAGAAGAAGGCCCTTTCCTGGGTCCTTGATAGCACCTGAAACTGTACCTGCTTCTGCTTTGCCTGTATAGGTTCTGGCCTCCCTTCAACCAGACAGAAGGATGAGGAACCAATGCTGGATGTGAACAAAGAAAAGGAGTTGAATTAGAAATGGTCCTTTAGAGCATTAAGTCAAGTGTTATTTTCCCAAAATATAAACCAAGTAAGCATAGATCCCTGGTTCTCCATGCTATGACACAGATGTGTGGTGTTAGAAGAAAGAGTATCCAAAAGACTGGAATGCCGGTCCTGGGTCTGTGGAGAAGAAGCTGTGGACTTTGCAAGTTACTCCACTTCTCTGAGCTTGAATCTCTTCCTCTCCCAAATGTGTGGGTTGGGTTAAATGGTTTCTGCAATTTCTTCCAGCTCCAGTGTTCTACAGTTCTCTAGTTAGGGGAGAAACTAAAAATAAACCAGATGAATTCAGGGTGCCAGGCTTCCCACATCCTCTGCTTTTGACCAAGGTGATTGAAGTGGCTGGAGCAAGCTATTTTCACCAAACCTAGGCTTGCCCTGCCCCAGGAAGTAGGTGCTAATGCCCAACAGATTGCAAATGCCACTATGACAAAGAGCCTGGCTCCATTTTAAAAGGAAAGCGTATTGATTTTTGGAACAGCCATCTCCTAGAGAATGAAACTTTGAGCCAAACCAAGGAAATTTATGAGGGTTCAGCTTATTCTTATAAAGTTTTTAAATCAATAAGTGCTGCCTGGAAGAATCTGGCCGTTGTGGTGGCTCAAAGAGTAGACACAAGGATAGTTATACTGGCATCAGAGGTAACAGACAAAGTGAATCATATGACACTGGGTGGGCCTGGGCTGGGGTATCTGGTGGAAGGCATACTAGGCTTGGATCTGGACTTAAGACACATAGGTACAACTTCCAGCTCTGATACCAATCAGAGATAAGCTATGTCACCAAGGCAGGGACCCTGCATCTGTCTTGCTGACTACTGCAAACAGTGTCTGGCACTCGGTAAATATTTACTGAGTCAGTGTTTTGTGGTGTCACGTGATTACTGACCCTTGACTTTCCTTTCTTACGCACTCTTTCGTTGGATCCCTTCTCAGTCTTCCTGCCCCCACTTCCTTATCTAAGTCATCCTTGTCTTTGCCAGGACTCTTGCAGCAGGCTGCTAACATCTTTAGTGCCACTGGTCTTGCCCCAGTCTAGTCCGTTCTCCACACTGAAGCCAGAGTAATCTCTCTGAAAGGAAAGTCTGATCATATCACTCCATATTTTTAAATGCCTTCTCAATTGTCATATTTATTGGCATAAAATCATTCATAACAGATTCATTTTCTTTTAATGTAATATCATCCCTTCACTTTTTTGCCCAATATGTGGTAGTATTTAGTAAGTGTTTCATACATACTTGAAAAGAGAATGAGATGGTTGGATGGCATCATCTACTCAATGGACATGAGGCTGAGCAAACTCTAGGATATGGTAAAGGATAGGGAAGCCTGGTGTGCTGCAGCCCATCAGGTGCAAAGAGCTGAGCATAACTGAGCAACCGACCAACAACAATATCCTTGACAAGAAAATGTTCTGAAGTTGTTTGTTGCAGTGTTCAGTTAGGTAAAGTTGGGAACTTCCCTGGTGGTCCAGTGGTTATGACTCCATGCTTCCACTGCATTAGTCTATGTAGAGAGATTAATTTTATTAATCTTTTTTAGCACTGTGTATCTAGTAATACTTTTTGACTAAAGTCTTTTTTGCCTGAAATTAATATACCCATACTAGTCTTTGGTTTACATAATGTATCTTTTTCTATCTTTTTTTCAACCTTTCTATGTCCTTATAAAATAATAATTATACATATACATATGTGTGTATATATATATAAATATATATTATATATAAATAAAATATATTTATATTTATATAAATATACATTATAATATGTAAAATATATATAAATAAATAAATATATAAATATATATATATTTGATCCCACTCCAGTACTCTTGCCTGGAAATCCCAGGGACGGAGGAGCCTGGTAGGCTGCAGTCCATGGGGTCACGAAGAGTCGGACACGACTGAGCGACTTCACTTTCACTTTTCACTTTCATGCATTGGAGAAGGAAATGACAACCCACTCCAGTGTTCTTGCCTGGAGAACCCCAGGGATGGGGGAGCCAGGTAGGCTGCCGTCTATGGGGTCGCACAGAGTTGGACACGACTGAAGTGACTTAGCAGCAGCAGCAGCATATATATTTGTGTGTGTATCTCTGTCCCTGGTTTCTGACACATTGCTCCAAAACCCTGTAATCTTCTGAGTAATAGGAGTGCTAGAAGCTAGAATTGTTGTTCAGTCACTAAGTCATGTCGTACTCTTTGTGACCCCATGGACTGTAGCACGCCAGGCTTCCCTGTCCTTCACTGTCTCCCAGTTTGTTCAAACTCATGTCCATTGAGTTGGTGATGCCATCCAACTATCTCATCCTCTGTCGTCCCCTTCTCCTCCTGCCCTCAATCTTTTCCAGAATCAGGGTATTTTCCAGTGAGTTGACTCTTTGCATCAGGTGGCCAAAATATTGGAGCTTCAGCTTCAGCCTCAGTCCCTCCAATGAATATTCAGGGTTGATCTCCTCTAGGATTGACTGATTTGATCTCCTTGCACTCCAAGGGACTCTTAGGAGTCTTCTCCAGCACCACCATTTGAGGACCTAGAATATTTTTTTCTAATATTTGGTATTTCATTCCACACTCTGACACATACCTCCTAAATCCCCTGGGATTTCCTGGGTGATAGGAATATTCCTATTCTAATAATATGACTCTTGGTGGATTCTTGGATGGGGTCTGGTCACCAGAAAGATCAAACCATGTTTAAATCTTGAAACTTTCAGCCCAAACTCCCATCCTCATGGGAGAGGAGAGGGGCTGGAGATTGAGTTAATTACTGATCATACCTGTGTGATTAAACCTCAATAAAAATTCCTGAAGTATAAGATTTGGAGAGTTTCTGGGGCTGATGAATATGTCTATGTGCTGGGCGGGTGGTAATCCCAACTTCGTGGGCTTGGGATCTCCTGCACTCACCTCTTTGACTGTTCATCTGTATCCTTTTTATATCCTTTATACTCTATAATGGGCTTCCCTGCTAGCTCAGAAGGTGAAGAATCCACCTGCAATGTGGGAGTCCTGGGTTTGATCCCTGGGTCAGGAAGATCCCCTGGAGCAGGGTATGGCAACCCACACCAGTATTCTTGCCTGGAGAACCCTCATGGACAGAGGAGCCTGGTGGGCTACAGTCCATGGGGTCACAGAGAGTCAGACATGACTGAGCGACTAAGCACAGCATACATACTCTCTAATAAACTGGTACATGTAGGTGTCTCCCTAAGTTCTGTGAGCCATTATAGCAAATTGTTGAACCTGAGGAGGGAGTCATAGGAATCTCCAGTTTGTAGCCAATTTGGATGGAAGTTCAGGTAATCCTGGAATTACTTGTGACTGGCATCTGAAGCAGGGGCAGTCTTGTAGAACTGAGCCCTTAATTTGTGGCATCTGATGCTAACTCCAGGTACATAGAGTCAGAACTGACTTGAATTTTAGGACATGAAACTTCTCTTGGAGATCTGGTGGGTATGGTGGAAAACCCATACATTGTGTGACCGGAAGTGTTTGGTCTGTAGAGAAAATAGTTTTTTTCCTCCCTCCTTTCAAGCCTTGTTTGTAAAGTTTGTCTTTTAGAAACAGCATTTAATTGTTTTTCTTCTAATTTTTTCATAAAATTTGAAAATCTTTGTCTTTCACTATTTATTCCATTTATAATTGTTTTTAAGTATCGATATATTTGGGTTTCACTGGTGGCTCAGATGGTAAAGAGTCTGCCTGCCATGCGGGAGACCCAGGTTCAATTCCTGGTTTTAAAGATCCCCTGGAGAAGGGAATGGTAACCCCTGCCAGTATTCTTGCCTGGAGAATTCCATGGACAGAGCAGTCCAGAAGGCTCCAGTCCATGGGGCCGCAAAGAGTTGGACACAACTGAGCAACTGACACTTCCACACATTCATTGACATATTTGGTTTTAAGTGTACATTTTTATGCCAATAAATTTAACAATTTGAATGAAATGAATGAGTTCCTGAAAAGCACAATTTCCTAAAATTAACACAGAGACAAGTAGAATTTTCCCTTATCTATGCTGTTCGGTTCAGTTCTGTCGCTCAGTCGTGTCCAACTCTTTGCAACCCCACGAATCACAGCATACCAAGCCTCCCTGTCCATCACCAACTCCCGGAGTTTACTCAAATTCACGTCCATCCTCTGGGAGAAGGCGAGGGTGGGATGTTTCAAGAGAACAGCATCGAAACATGTATATTATCTAGGGTGAAACAGATCACCAGCCCAGGTTGGGTGCATGAGACAAGTGCTCGGGCCTGGTGCACTGGGAAGACCCAGAGGGATCGGGTGGAGAGGGAGGTGGGAGGGGGGACCGGGATGGGGAATACATGTAAATCCATGGCTAATTCATTTCAATGTATGACAAAAACCACTGCAATGATGTAAAGTAATTAGCCTCCAACTAATAAAAATAAATGGAAAAAATAAAAAAATAAAAGTTAATTAAAATATCAAAAAAAAAAATTCACATCCATCACATCGGTGATACGATCCAGCCATCTCATCCTCTGTCATCCCCTTCTTCTCCAGCCCCCAATCCCTCCCATCATCAGGGTCTTTTCCAATGAGTCAACTCTTCACATGAGTTGGCCAGAGTATTGGAGTTTCAGCTTCAGTGTCAGTCCTTCCAATGAACACCCAGGACTGATCTCACTTAGGATGGACTTGTTGGATCTCCTTGCAGTGCAAGGGACTCTCAAGAGTCTTCTGCAACATCATAGTTCAAAAGCATCAATTCTTTGGTACTCAGCTTTCTTTATGGTCCAAATCTCACATCCATGTATGACCACTGGAAAAACCATAGCCTTGACTAGAGGACCTTTGTTGGCAAAGTAATGTCTCTGCTTTTCAATAAGCTATCCAGGTTGGTCATAACTTTCCTTCCAAGGAGTAAGCGTCTTTTAATTTCATGGCTGCAATCACCATCTGCAGTGATTTTGGAGCCCCCCCAAAATAAAGTCTGACACTGCTTCCACTGTTTCCCCATCTATTTCCCATGAAGTGATGGGACCAGATGCCATGATCTTAGTTTTCTGAATGTTGAGCTTTAAGCCAACTTTTTCACTCTCCTCTTTCACTTTCATCAAGAGGCCTTTTAGTTCCTCTTCACTTTCTGCCAAGAGTGTGGTGTCATCTGCATATCTGAGGTTATTGACATTTCTCCCAGCTATCTATGGTGTAATTTCTTCCAAATATTTTTGGAAAAAATAATACTAATCTTATACAAACTCTTCCAGGAAAAAGAAGAAAAATAATGAATAATTCCCAACTCATTTTATAAAACCAGCATTATTTTCATCAAGTAATACCAACATCTGAGAATGACATTTCCTTTTTTTTTTTAATTTTTTAAACACCAAAAATATTTTGTATTGGGGTATAGCCAATTAACAATGTTGTGGTAATTTCAGGTGAACGATGAAGACAAATACATGTCTTCATGTATACACACAGCCATACATATACATGTATCCATCTGAGAATGATATTTCAAGAAATTAAAATCACAGGCCAATCTTACTTATAAGCATAGACACAAAATGCCCAAACAAAATTTAATGAATTAAATCCATCAATATACAGAAAAAGGATAATACATAATGGCTATATGCCAGGAATGTGTTTGATTTAATATTCAAAAATCAATCAAAATTTTACTATATTAATAGAATGGAGGAGAAAAACATTATAAAAACATTATAGTCATCTCAATAGATGTAGGAAAAAATTTTGACAAAGTTCAACATCCATTCTTGGTTAAAAAAAAACAAATTTCATCAAACTGGGAATAAAAGAAAGTGTTCTATAGCAAAATTACACTTGATAGCAAAATATTACACGCTACCCCTTGAGTTCAGCAAAAAGATTAAAATGTCCACTTTCATCATTACCATACAATATTATGGTGGAGGGCCAAACCAGTACAGTGAACATAGCATAAAAGAGGTATAAAGATTGAAAAAGAAGAAGTAAAACTAGCATTATTTAAGAGTATATAATTGTACAAGTAAATAATTCAAAAGGATCAATTGAAAACTATTAAAATTAATAAATAATTTAACAATATCACTCTATGCAAGGTCATCATGCAGCAATCACTTGTATACACTAGCAAAAAATTAGAAATTTTAAGAAGTTTTAAATGTCATTTTATAGTAGCGTAAAAAATAAAATGTTTAGGAATAAATCTTGCACAAGACCTCTATGCCAATATCTGCAAAATACTACTGAAAGAAATTTTTAAGTCCTCAGTAAATGGATGGATGAATATACCAAGTTAATGGGTTGAGAGACTGAATGTTGTTAAGATGTCAGTTTTCCCCAGATTGATCCACAGATGAAATGCAATCCTAATCAAAACCCCAGTAGGCTTTTTAAAAAGTAGAAATTAGCAAAATTTTAAAAATTTACATAGATGTGCACATAATATAGAATAGGTAACAATTCTGAAAACAAAAGGAACAAATCTGGGATACTTGATTACCTGATTTGGGGATTCACTATAAAATTACAGCAGTCAATTCAGTGTGTTATTGGCATAAGAGTAGACAAATAGATCAATGAAACATATTAGAGCCCCTAAATAGACCCACACATATATGGTCAATTGATTTTCGACAAAAGCTCCAAAATAATTCAATGGGGGAATTCTTACAATTTGTGTGGAGACAAAATGATATTTATATGGGAGGGAAAATGATTATCAACCCCTATTATATGCCATAACAAAAATTGTCCTCAGACCATAGATCTACATGCAAATGAGAAAACATAAAACTTCTAGAAGAAAATCAATATCTTCACCTCCACAGGGTTTAAGCATTAATTTTTTAAACTGGAGTATAATTGACCTACAGCATTAGTTTCAGATGTATAACATAATAATTCAATATTTGATATATTGCAAAATGATTGCCACAATAAGTCTAGTTGTCTGTCACCATACCTAGTTCCAGAAGTTTTTTTTTTGTGATGAGAATTTTAAAGATTTACTCTCATATAGTAATTCTCAGATATGTAATACAGTATTATTAACTATAGTCATCATGCTATACATTATATCCCTAAGGCTTATCTGTTTTATAACTGGAAATTTGTGCCTTTTGGCTTCCTCACTCATTTTGCCCACCCTCCAGCCCTTGCCTCTGGCAGCTACCAGTCTGTTCTCTCTATCTGTGAGCTAAGTTTTTTGTTTTTGATTCCATATAAAAATGAGTTCATATGGTATTTATCTTTCTCTGACATTTCACTTAGCATAATGCCCTCCAGGTCCATCCATACTGTCACAAATGGAGATATTTCATTTTTTTAATGGCTGAATAAAATTCATATATATATGTATATATATATATCACATTTTCTTTATCCATTCACTTGTCAATGGACACTTAGGCTGTTCCCATATCTTGGCTGTTGTAAGTGATACAAGCAATAATTTCTTTAATAAAGTACAGAAAACACTCACCACAGGGAAAAATGATAAATTGTATCTCAAAATTAAAACCCTGACTTCTGCTTTTCAAAAGAGTCTATTAACAAAAGTGGAAAAGCAAGTCACAGGTTGAGATAAAATATTTGCAATATGTGTATCTCACAAAGGATTTATGTCCAATACATAATAACTCCTTAATAACAATAAAAAGTAAACACTCCTCCTTCTTTAAAGATCATATTTGTGCAGACACTTAGCAAAAGGCATATGAATGACCAATAAAAGAGATTCTCAGCAATTTAAGTCATTAGAGAAATGGAAATTAAAACTTCAGACAGGACTACACAAAAAATTAGAAATTTAAGTTTTAAATGTCATTTTATAGTAGCATAAAAGAATAAAATGTCTAGGAATAAATCTAACACAAGACCTCTATGTCAAAATCTCCAAAATACTATTGAGAGAAATTTTTAAGTCCTCAGTAAATGGATGGATGAATATACCACCCACTGAATAAACAATACCAGGTGTTGATGAGAATGTGGAGAAACAAAAGTTTTCAGAATTGTTGCTGAAAGTGTCGAATGACACAACTATTTTGGGAAACAGTTTGACAATTGCAACTAAAGCCAGATGTCTACATACAACTCCATGCTTGGGTATTTGCCCAACAGAAATCAGTGCATATATCGACCAAAGATGTATACAAGAATATTCGCAACAGCTTTATTGGTAATCACCAAAATCTTGATTCAGTATAAATGCCTTTTAACTGGTGAATGATTATAGAAATTGGGATGTGGTTTTACAATGGAATATTGCACAGCAATGAAAA